TGTATGAAAATGCTACCTTTTCCTCCTGATGTTTGACTGGTGGTCTGACTTGCTGTGGAATTCTGGGTCAAAAATCATTTCCTTCTCACTGATGAAGACCCAGCTCATCTGTCTTCTAGTGTGCCATCCTGATGCGGGGAAGTCTGAGCCCACCCTGACTCTCACGCTGTTCTTCTTATTTCTGTTCTGGAATCTTTCAGAAGTGTCTTTTACCTCTGGGCTTTAGAATTTTTTTTTTTTTTTTTTTTTTTACAATGAATCTTGGTTATTTCTGCTACTTAGATTTTAAATAAAAGTGTCTGCCTTTATCTTTCCTCTCTAGAACATTTTCTTGAATTTTAAAAATAATTTTCTCTGCTCTCTCTTCCCTGAGTTCCCATTCAGAATAATCACGAACAAGACGCCAGGCCTCCTAGATTAGGTCCTCTGTTTCTATTTTCAAGCTCACTGTCATTCTTCCCTCCTTTCTATAAATTTCCTCCATTTTATCTTCTAACATTTATTTAACATTTTACTTTGCAGCAGTGTTTTTAATTTCTATGAACTCGTTCTTGTTCTGTTAGAGATCATTTTATTTATGGCTATCTTTCATTCCTCTAATGTTTTGGGAATGCCAGTTGAATGCCAATTTGAATACTGATTTCTTTTGGTTTGAATTTTGGTTTTTTCCATTCCCTGAGTTATTCCTCTTGTTCAGAGTTGGCTTTCTTTTTGTATACATTGGTTCATTTTTTTTTCCTGCTCAAAGCCTTCTTTAAATGCTTGGTGAGCCGTCATTGTTCATGCTTGTGTGACAGTAGAAGGTGACGGGAGGGAGGGTCACTAGATAGAGGTTTGTCAACTGGTGTCCCTGCTTGAGGGTGAGTGACAGGGTTGCTGGGACATCCTCAATTGTCACTCCACAGGACTATTGAAGGACAACCTCCGGTTCACAGGGCAGAGTAACACACAGTCACTGACATTCTGCAGATGGAGTTATAGGGGATGGATGACAGGGTTTGGCTGGTAGGAGCTCATCTTTTGGGTTAATTCCCTGTCTTTACCTCATGCCCTGCACGCCTTAAGTGGTGCCCCCAGGCCCCTCCCTAGAATGTTAAGGGCAAACTTCCTCTCTGTTCAATGCACCTTGAAGTCTTTGGCTTCTTTGTTCTTGTATTTTCTTTCCAGCATCTACACATGTGTTGAAGTTGCCTGTCATTGATGCTTGTACCCATCTCTCTCCTTCTCAGTTTATAGGTGGTATTCTTTTTGTGGGGTTTTAGGAGGGAGAGCACAGAATTCTTCACCATCAATTCTTCCACTTTTAATCAAAAGCTGTTTGATTTATTAATACTTTAAAAGACATCATAACGGTATGATTCCATGTATATAAAACGCCCAGAATAGGAAAATCCATAGACACAGAAAGCATAATAGGCATTTTAAGGACATGGAGGAGGATGAAATGAGTAGTGATGGCTTCATATGTACAGGGCTTTCATTTAGGATGGTGCAAAAGTTCTGGAACTAGAGAGAGGTGATACTTGTACAACATTATGTTGTACTTAATCCCATGCCTTACTGTCAATGAATTACACATTTCTAAATCCCTAAGGGGAATTTTCACTATGTGCGTATTTTGCTATAATAAAAATGAACACAGTAAAAAAGTGTAGTAATCATGAAGATCATACAATATCTTCACAAACATTACATTCAGCTTATGATCCCATAGAATCCTGGCGTTGAACCGTCAGTTGTGATGTACTGTGCCATGGAAATAGCACAGTAATAGCCTTCTTTTTTTACCTTTTTAAAATTTTATTTTAAACAAACTTTTAAAAAGCAATAAAAATGATTCAGAATTTCAAAACAAGATGATAGGAAATTAACAATGGTTATTACATTACATATTGTTATCTTCAAAACAGTTGCTCAGATTATCAGATATAGGCATGTAAGATGGATCAGACAATATGTATATATAAATACTATATATGTATGTATATATATATATATATATATATATATATATATATATATATATATATATATATATATATATATACAGTTTTCCTTCTTTTCTCCTTTCCCCTATCCCAGTTCTCCTTTCATTTGAGTAGTTTCTTTCCATTTCACAATATCTATTGTACCTTTTGTATCTTCTTTATTCTTTCAGTTTCTCGCACTGAGACAATATGATGTTTGCACCTGTGGGTCTGATTTATTACACTTATGAGTATGATCTCTAGATGCATCCCTTTACCTATAAAAGCCTTGAGTTTATCTTTCTTTATAATTGAGTAATGTTCCATGAAATAAAAATACCACATTTTTTTATTCATTCCTCAGTTGACAGGTATTTGGGTTGTTTCCTAGATTTAGCTATGACCAATTGCACTGCTGTAAACATGGACGCACATATATTACTGTGGTATGATGTTTTCAGTTCTTCTGGAAAGATAACCAAAAAGGGAACAGCTGGATCAAATGGGACATCTAATCCTAGATTTTTAAGGAATCTCCACACTTATTTCCACAGTGGTTTTACCAGTCTACACTCCCACCAACAGTGGAGAAGGGTTCCTTTTTCCCCACAGCACCTCTGGCATTTTTATTGGTTGATTTCTTGATGATAGCCATTCTTTCTGGGGTGAGATGAAATCTCAGTGTTGTTTTAACTTGCATTTCTTGGAAGACCCATGATGCTGAACATTTTTTTCATATATTTATTTGCCATTTGTATTTCTTCATCTAAGTGTATATTCATCTCAGATGCTTATTTATGGATTGGGTCTTTGAATTTGGGGGGGTCTGGTTATTTTTAAATTCTTTATATGTTCTAGATAGAAGTCCTTTGTCTGAGGGACAATTGACTAAAATTTTTCCCAAATTTGTGGGTTTTGTTTTCATTCTGTTGGTGATTTCTTTTGATGTGCAAAAACTTTTTAATAAGATAAGATCTCAGTTGTTGATTCTTTGAAGTATTTCCCATGCAGTTTGCCTTTTGTTCAAGAACTGTCTGCCTACCCCAATGTTTGCACTATTTCTACCTACTTTCTCTTCCAGTAGATTTAGTGTTTCTGTTTTAATATTTAGATCTTTGATCCATTTTGACTGTAGTGTAGTGCATGGTGATAGACATGGGTCAAATTTTAGTCTTTGGTATGTGGAAAACCAGTGTTTCCAGCACCATTTACTAAAGAGGCTATCTTCAATCCAGTGAATATTTTTGGCCCCTTTGTCAAAGATCAGGTGGCTGAGTGTGGTTGTAGTTATTTCTTCATCTTCTACTCTGTTCCATTGATCCTAAGGTCTGTTTCTTTGCCAGTACCATGCTGATTTTATCACAGTAGCTTTGTAGTATCATTTCAAGTCAGGAATTACGACGCCTCCTGCCCTTCCTTTGTTGCCCAGGATTGCATTTGCTACTCTAGGTCTGTTCTTGTTTCAAATGAATTTTAGGAGTGTTTTCTCTAGATCTGAGGTATGCTAATGGTATTTTGCTGAGGATTGCATTAAATCTGTATGACAGTTTTGGGAGTACAGCCATTTTCACAGTGTTGTTTCTTCTTATCCATGAGCAAAGAATGTCTTTCCATGTTCTGAAATCATGTTCAATCTCTTTTTTCAGAGGACTGCAATTTTCACTGTAAAAATCTTTTACTTCCTTTGGTAGATTGTTTCCTAAATATTTAATTTCTTTGGATGCTATTGGGAAGGGTGTGGTTTTCCTAATATCTCACTTAGTAAATTCGTTGTTTGTGGGCAGGAATGTAGTTGACTTCTGAGTGTTGACTTTGTATCCAGGTATGCTACTGATGTTGGTTATTAAACCTAGAAGTTTTTTCATGCCAAGAATTGCCTATGTAGAATATTGCATCATCTGCAAGTAATGATAATTTAACTTCTTCCTTTCTAATCCTTATTCCTTTTGTTTTTCTCTCTTGTCTAATTGCTCTGGCTAATGTTTCCAGAATTATATTGAGTAGGAGTGGTGATAGTGGACACTCCTTGTCTTGTTCCTGATTTTAGAGTGAAAGCTTTCAGTTTTTGTCCCTTTAGTATGATGTTGGCTGTTGGTTTGTCATAGGTGGTTTTTATCAGATTGAGGTAAAGACCATCTATTCTAATTTTCTGCAGGGTTTTTTATCATGAATGAGTGTTGGACTTTATCAAAAGCTTTTTCTGCATCTATTGAGATACTCATGTGTTTCTTGTCTTTGGCTCTGTTGATATGATGTGCTATATTTATTGATCTGTGTGTATTGAACTATCCCTGCTTCCTGGAATGAATCCCGGTTGGTCATGGTGTATAATATTCTTGATGATTTGTTGCTCTCTATTTGCTAGTATTTTATTGAGGATTTTTGCATCTATGTTCATTAGCAAGATTGGCCTGTAGTTTTCTTTTTTTTTGTTGGGTCTTCCTCTGGTTTGAGTATCAGGGTAATACTTGCTTTGAGGAATCAGTTAGGGAGAATTGCATCCCCTTCAATTTCATTAAAGAGATTGAGGAGTATTGGCATTAAATCTCCTTTAAATTTCTTATAGAATTCGGCTGTGAATCCATCAGGACCTGGGCTCTTCTTTGTTGGTAAGCTTTTAATTATGTTTTCAATTTCACTGACTGATATTGGATTATTCAGAAATTTGTATCTTCTTGATTCAGCTTTGGTAATTCATACTTATCTAGGAATCTGTCCATTTCTTCTGTGTTTTACATTCTATGCAAGTAAAGATTTTCAAAGTAGGTATTGATTTTCAAAATAGGGCAAGCACATTTCCACAGGATGTGTACTGATTTCACCCTTTTCATTCCATATTGTATGAATTTGAGTTTTTCTTTCATTTTTTGATAAGGGTGGCTAGGGATTTATCAATTTTATGTATTCTTCCAAAGAACCAACTCTTAGATTCATTGACCCTTTGCATTGTTTTCTTAGTCTCAATTGCATTAATTTCTGCTCTCCTGATCTTCCTCTGTATCCCTACCTTAATGACAAGTACCTCCGCCCCAACCCCACATCAGTATAATGAAATATCCAGGATTCATTGAAACACATTCACCCACCATAGTCTTTTCAGTTCTGTCAGTTCCTCTCCATTGCCCTCTTTGTTCTTCTCCTGGACTCATAGCTGCCCAGGGGCCCCTCTGCCTCTGGCCCGGCTCTTCAGCCTTATCTCCGGGCTGCTTCAGCTCAAACATCTCCTCCTGGCTCACTAAGTGCCTTCAAAATGGGGAAAGCAGAATAATCTAATCAGGTAATGGAAGAAAATATTAGAACTTTTTGTGGGTTATCTCAATATATAAATGCAATATGAATTACTGATGATCTGTATTTAATTTGAATCTGAAAACATAAGAAAAAATTAGCCTTTTACTGTTTTGTTTTTATAATGATACTCTGCTTGGTCCACTTATCACAGTGTCATTTGTCACCTAGATATCTCACCGTTCCCTGTTTAAAAATAATCAAGCATCCCATAGGGTTGATAGCTGTGTCCTCCTCTATAAGACACTTAAGCCAGATGTGTTATGTGTTGACATGTGCCCAGGTAAACACAATTATGGACTAAATCTAGTTACTAATGGTGCAACCATTTGCAAGCAACAAGAAATGACAGACTCGACACTGTACCTCTGGGGCAAGCACATCAGCAGCCATAAGTTCAGATCAGAAGAATAGCAAGAAAATCCAATCTAACAAGAAGATGGAATAAAAATAAAGTTGAAGCCTGGTATGATGGTACACCCCTATAATTCCAGCACTTTGGGAGGCTGAGGCAGAAACATCCCAAGTTCAAGCCTAGCCTGGACAACATATTGACTTAAGGAGACCCTGTCTCAGAACAAAAAAATTAAAGAAAGCTGGTAATGTAGCTCAGTGCAAAGGTCTTGGATTCAATCTCCAGTACAATAAAAAAAGTTGAAATTGTGAAAGAGATTATTTATGTTACTAATTTATACAATCTCTTAAAATTTTTCCTTAATGGTATTCAAGTTATAGGGAACATGATATAATGCTTTATAAAATTTCACTGAATTTAATAATAAACATACAAAAGTCTTCTTGAGGTTTATGAACATATAACTACATATTTTCCTATCATCACTTATAAGTAAATAAACATTTGAGGGTTCAGATTCAATTTTATTTTTACAAATCAAAAGGTAGATTAAAATAAGAGTTCAGAGAGCACAGCTCAGCTGAATTAGGTCCTAGCTCTATAGTGAAAAGCATAATACACATGGGCATGTGCACACACACACACACACACAAACACACACACACACACACACCAGGGGGCCTGTTCTATGTACATGGTGCTCCCTAAACTTGAATATCCATCTTCTGTCTTCTCCCCACTGGGTACATTTATTTCCAGACTAACTATGCTTCCGAATTCATTTTAGTAAAAGAGCTAGAAAAATATTTATGAAAATCTACCAAAGGTAGCACACAATGCATTGGCTAATTATTCTATGGATAGTTGATATGCAAATCAAAATAAAATGTTAGCAAGGAGAATATAGTAATGCTAATGAACCCATGAAAAAAATAGTATTCATTCAAGAATGGCAGGAAGGTTAAAGAGTAGAAAACCTCACATATTTCATTATGAATATAATGAATGAATGATGAAGATAACATGATATCAATAGATAAAAAGAAAACAATTGACAAAATTCAACATTAATTATAATAGCAACACAGTGAAATATAAATAGATGGACTTATTTAACAATTAATGTACAGAAATGTTTGTGTATATACAGATGTGAGCAAGTACAAATGTGAGACTGACATATATGTACATACATTAATGCAAACTTCCAAAGTCAATATTATGTTTAATGTCAAGGCACTAGGAGATTTTCCATTGGAACAGATACAGTATCATTATTTTTAGCTTCTACAACTATGTATCTGAAAAGCCCCAAAGAATCAACTGAAATGAGGTGAAACACTAGGAGAGATTAGTAAAGTTAGTATAAAACGTAATTTTCTTTTATTCAAGCAATAATGTTAGAAAACATTAAATCAAAATATTCCATTAAATTTTGCAACCAAAATTATCCTTTCTTCCCCATCTCTTCAGATAAGAATAAACTTTGGAATAAACATGAAAGGTCAACAAATTGAGTAAAAGTTTTCACTTCTCTCTGAAGAAAAACAAAAAAATTAATAAATCAAAAGGAATGTCTTCCTAGCAAATGGTAAAATTAATGAATGAAGTTAATTCTTCCTCAGTGGATCTCTACATTCAGTGTATTCCCAATCAAAATACCCATGGTACTTCTTACCCATCCAAATCATATTTAAGTTTACCTATAAAATAAATTAGCAAGAATAGCCAGAAAAATCTCTAAAAAGGAAAAGCAACGAGAGGTAAATGTAAAATCAAACTACAGACATTAACACTTGCCTCAGATTAGACAGAAGAGTAAATGGCACACAACAGAGAATTGAAAGGAAAGGCCTAGTGCATGCAGGAGTTTTGCATATGAGTTTGTACATTTCAAGTCAGTAAGAAAAGAAGATAGATTTTTTAATAAACACTGTGGGGACAACTAGCTAGCCATTTGGGGAAAAAGAAAACTCAATCCCTATCTCGCTCCTTACATTAACTTGAAATCCAGATGGAACAAAGATTTAAACATTAAAAAGATAAAACCATGAAAGTACTAGAAGGAAGTTTTTGTAGAGGAAATATCTTCCTAAGCAAGGTGCCACACTCATAAAACATAATGGGCAAGACAAGATTAATAAAGGTGACCATGTACACTCTAAAACCCCTAAATTTAGCAATGACTATTTATATTTTAAAGGAACATACACTTTAACCTAACAATTACATTTCTAGGAATTTATTCTCTAGCCGTACTCACAAATGTGCTCAAGAAAAAAAAAAAAAAGGAGAGGAGAATCATGCATAAGAATGTTCACTGCAAGGTTATTTACAATAGCAAAAAGCCCTGCAACAACATAAACATACATCAATAAAGATCTACTTTAGACAAATACAGTACAAGCATAGGATGAACCACACACAGTTATTTAGAAAGAACACGGTAAGTCTGGAAGTGCTGTAATGGAGAGCAATCCAAAACACTATTAATTTAATAGAAGCAAGATGCAAATAAGAAGTAGGGTTATTATAACATAAGCACTTATAAAACGTGAGCACCTGTAATTTGTACCTTGCTCTTTATAAAAACTTAGTTCCTTTATATGTAAAGTAGGCTTCCTTTCTCCCCAGTTCACAGCCTCCTTTTGCTTCTAGCTTTTCTCTCTCATTAACTACAGTGTGTTCCAGGGCAGGGTCCCCAGCCTTCACAGCATGACACAGAGAGAATACAGTAGTATTCATCTAGTACACAAAGGGCTGTGGTCACTCATGCCTGGAGATAAAGAACTCCACAGTCCCAGACGGGGTGAGATAGCAGGGCAGGGATCAGCATCTCCAAGAACCTACAGCCATTCCAGTGTGCTGGGCACAGGAGCCTCCCCTCAGGACTCCTGGCAGGTGGAACTTTGGGTGGCAGAGAAAAACTTGGCCTGGAAGGAAGGAGGCAGGGGTATCTTGCCTATGGTAAATCAGGGAGGAAGGTGAGGCAGCGGTTGGAGGAGGAGCCGGAAAGTGGGAATCTTAGAATTTGCTCTCAGAGGCAGCTCCAAGGTCTCAGGAAGAGAGGCCAGCTGTGTCCCCTTCCAGCGATTGCCAACAAGTTAACACTGTATGTGCTAGGTTCTTTCAGGTTTCCGCTGAAGATGAGCAATCTCTGCCCTCATGGAGCACTGGAAAGGTGGTGCACTAGGGGTTGTCTATTACAGACAGGATCCTGGCTCTGCCACCTGCTGGCTGTGTGATTGTGAATAAGATTCTTCACCCCTTTTGGCAAAGTGACCTTACCTATAACATTCAGTTACTAGCTGTCTCTCAGGATTGGGGGAAAGGATACCAAACCATGTTGGCTTTGCTTCAAATATTATGTTCTCTTATTTTTTTAAACAATCTTACTGTCTTGGTTACTTTCCTCTTGTCAGGACAAAATACCTGACACCCAAAATTAAGGAAGGAAAGATTTATTTCTCTTATAGTTTGTGGAGGTTTCAGTCCGTACTGGGCAGGTTACAAGGCAGACTGGCACATGGCAGAGGGCTACAGCTCATGGCGGCAGAACACACCAAAGCAACAAACACTAAAAAGGGAGGAATGGGGGAGGAATGGCCTCAGGCAGCCTCTTCCTCTCCTTACATATGCAAACTATCCACCCCAGGGCGGGTGCAGCTCTCATACCCATAATCAATCAAATTCTAAAAGCCTGCCCCATGACTGCATGAGGCTTTGGGGGGACACACAGACACAGACCATAACACTTATCAAGAAAATAAGTTTGCATTTCAAGGTAACCTTTACAAGTAGGTCCGTCTCTATTACTCTTTGTTGCTGAGACAAAATACCCAACACCCGCAACTAAAAAGCGAAAAGATTTATTTTGGCTCACAGTATATAGCGGTTCCAGTCCACAGCTGGCTGGCTCAAAGGCAGGATGACATGGCCGAGGGGAATGACAGAAGGGAGCTGCTCAGGACACAGCAGCAGAGAAGCAGAGAGAGAGTCAAGGGAGTAGCTGAGGAGGGAAATAACCCTTCCAGGCCATGCCTCCCAGTGACCAGTCTCTTTGGATCAGACTTCTCCTAACAGCAAGTCAACTATAAGTCCCACGATCCAATCACTTCCTAAATCCCCCACCTATGGGTACAGAAGGCTCTTGGGGGATATCCAGATACAAACCATAAGAAGGTATATCAAAATTCAAGGTTGCTAAGAATGTTCCTTTATCCCTCTCCATATGTCCACATGATCACTAAAATCTAAAACCTCTTTAATCACAGAAACACACACACTCTTTCTCTCTTTCTCTCTCTCCCATCCCCTGATTATAAGGTTAGAGTGTAATATGTACATCCAGGAAGAAGCTGCACAATGAGCCTAATTTTTCCTCAGGTGCAAGTAGTTATTACACAGCAAGACACATGGTAACTTTACACTGTTTTCTGTTTTGCATGACCCAAGCTGTATGCGCCTGATTGGTCCTTATTCTGAGTCCAAAATACAGAGCAAAACCTGAAGTCCTAGAACGAAGGACTCAGCCTAAAGACCAAGGACACAACAAATTCAATTCTCACACATGAAGGTCCAGAACAGCTGTCCTATACAA